AAGCTCGTCATCTTCATGTGACGCGACATGCCACATGGCGACACTCAAGTCTACTCCAACTTCTATATCAACACCTTTCCCCAACATTGTCCAAGCTCCGACGAGGCGAAGCCACTTCATCGACATGTCTTTATTCCGATGAAGCTACCCATATCTTGCCGTGCACCGACGAGGCGAAGGCAAGACACCAAGTCCGACAGCGACGAGACGGACACCACCAGGCGGGCACCGACGAGGCCAGACATCTTATCATCGGACATCGACAAGCCGGAGGGATACGGCCAAGCATCACCGAAGCGACAGACGTACCGCTCCACCCTTCCATCCCACGACATCATCACCATGGTCTACACCGAACACTTGGAGAAGACGAGACATGAAGACGACGACAATTGCGGCAGCTCAATCGGAGGTGGTCCGTGACTTCGACTCGTGGGTGTAATTAATCGGGAGCCTTCCGTGGCCCGGTGAACCAGAACTTCACAATCGCCCAAGTCATATCGGCCGTGCTAGCAGGCCACGGAACGTTTATGTAAAGGGATCATGTAATTTGTTTCTCTAACGAGAGATTAATAAAGTACAAGTTTCCCCATGTTTTATTTGTTTAATTATGTACGCAGGCACGCCCGCAATATTTATTTTCCCTGGCGCGTAGAGAGATAATAACATCATAACCAACATTGTTTTTATTATTTCTCGTGTCAAACAGTGACAAGTAGCTCGGCGGTGGTGTTATCACTGTCTCGGCGGGTCGGCGCCCTCGAGCCTTGGTGGACAGGTATTGGGTTCTCCTTCGCGGTTGCAGCAGCACCCCAGGTGCCAAGGTTCCTCTTCGGCTGGTCTATCTGTACCTCGGTCCTCATATTCGCCCTGGGGTCGGCAGGTTCTTTCTTCTGGCGACTTCCCTCAACTATAGGTTTCCTTCGGTGTAGCTGGTATGTGTATGCTCCGGAGAGTCATTGGTCGTGCTCCTTGGCTGCCCCGGACTCGAGACCAACCAATGCTCTAGCTCTCTGGTGAGCATCTATAAAGTACGACGGTGTGGCGCCTTCGAGACTAGGCGACACGAAGGGGATCCCTTCGGTGTTAGAGGAGGCAGGTGTTGGGTCATCTTCAGTTCTTGGTTCCTATCCTGTGCTCGACTCCCTCGGGCGGTTTCTGGTCCTCAAGGCTTCATCCGTAGTCGTTTTAGGTTCCTTTGAGTTGTGGGCTTCTCCTCAACTAGTTGTTCTTCATATGAAATTTCCTGTTTGTTGGTTGTTGGTGTAGCGTTGTAAGCTGTTTTTCCAGGTCCCATGTATCCATCGGCCGATGTTGTGTGGTGACCTTGTTCTTGTACTCCTTGCCGGTTGATGGCTTTGTAAATTTAGAGTCAGGCTCCACTTGATCGTTTGTTTTAAAGAAGTGTAGTACGGATCCATTCATTGGCCAAAGTTACTGCTGCTAGGCTAATACTACTATTCTTTTCGTAAACAAACTTCCTGAAAAATGTCGTTTAATATCTGATTTTATTGAACGATATGGCATTCCTTTGTTGGTTGGTTATGAAGATCAAAATTCTGTCGCTGAAATAGGAAAGAAAGCACCTTCCTTAGAAGGGTCTCCTGTGAGCTTGAAGCTGCACAGGGCGTGCCTGATGAAGAGGATCCCATGCATTTCACGAGAGGAAGGAGAAGGCCCGCAGCTGGCAGAATACCAACGGCGGACTTCAGTATTGTTCTCTGGCTTGTTTGCTAAGTGTCATATTGTCGCTCCGGCCCCTTCTCCCCCCGCGTCGTCTCCTCCGAGGCGACCCGGGTGCAATCCCCTCCTCCCCCCCTTCCTCTCCGCCGCCGCCTGAGGTGTGCTCCGGCGCGCGCGCTCGACACCGATGAAGGTAGCGGCGGGGATTCGGCGGCTACTCGTCTCGGGCAGGGCCTCGGCACGCGGGGCGGCGGCCCCGGCAGGTGAGGGTGGGGTGGTCCTGGCGGCGGGCCGCCCTGCCGGTGCGAGCTAGGCGCCTCCTCGGTCTCGCGGGTGACGAGGTGGCGGCGGTCGACGGTCGCAGGTGTGCATCCCTCCCCGCAGGTATGCCATTGATGAAGTCCATCCCCTCCGCCCCGATCTGCTCCTTCCTTGGCCAGATCTGGGTCCTGGTGGCTTAGGCCGCTGCTCTCGGTTGTTTGCTGTGCGGATCTCGTCTGGCGGGGCTGGATCCGGGGGAAACCCCTGGCCGGCGCGGCGGTCACACCAAAGGCGACGCCTTGGGCGCCGTTCCCCTCCTTGGAGGCTGTGGTGTGGATCCTCCCCCCTCCTTCCGTCCCATGCTAGGTGAAAGCCTAGGTCCCCTGCTTCGGGCGGCGACGGCACGTCCGTGTCGTGTTCCTTCTTGGAGGCACCGTCCGGGGATTGCAGGGGTGGCGAGAGAGTTTGGTTGTGGATGTGATGGTGGCGGGAGACAGCTTGGTTTCTTCATAGGTTGCTGCTGGAGGGTCCCTGACGAGGTCACCGGTGGGTCGACGCCCACGAGCCTGGGCAAGAGGGGATCGGGTTCCCCTCTTCGGCGACAATGATATACCTTTGGGTGGGAGCATTATGCTCAGGCGAATCCAGCGCTGGCCTTTGATCTACTTTTCGCTGCTTCCGTTGCTTCTGCGAATGTGGCCGGCAGCTCTTGCCCTTTGGTGCGGCTGAGCCGCAGACGACGATGGTGCTTGTTTGTAGTGTGCCATGGGCTTGCGATCCTGCTCTAGTCTCTTCTCCTTGCAGATTGGAGGCCATCCATTTGAATTAATCTACGTTCTAAAATATGTCTATATACATCCGTATGTGGTAGTCCATTTAAAATCTCCGAAAAGACAAATATTTACAAACGGAGGGAGTATATATTACCGTCTAAAAGCGCATGGGTGGTCTCTCCTTCTTTTTCCGGGCTTGAGACAGGCTATCAATTTTGCAACAAAAAAACCAGGCACCAATTCGTAAATCAGTCTGACTAGCTACTGGGTTGACAAAATGTTCTCTTACTGAGTTTACTTGCAGCCTGAGGTTCATCAACGCATCATTCTCTTAGCCCTGGTATATAAGACCCATCTACCAGCGCTTAAAACTCTGCTTGTTCATCATTCATCACTACTTCATTCTCCTGGTAGCAAGTACCAACTCCTGAATCAGCCTCCCTGGAAGAAAAAAAACCCCTCCTGAATCCACCAGCACAAATGCACTTTGGGCTGTCCACCATGTATGAACCTCTGTGTGGAGCAGAAAATATGTAGGCTCAAAGAGACTTTTCAGTTTTACAATTGAAATAGAGCTAGATGAGTAAAGTTAACTGAAACATATTTTCAGTAATGGTGAACAACAAGACCAATTCGACAAATACCGTAAAGAACAACGAGACCAATTCCACAAATACCATACAGAAGAACAAGACCAATTACACAAATACAGCAAAACACAACACTACAACGCAAGTGGACCATACACCATCACTAATAAAAATAAAAATGTGGAGTCTTCATGGAACACAGACCTCGGTCCCAATCAGTCATGATACGTAGGATAGGGGTACGCATTGCATTACGGTTACGTAGCATCCTAAATCTATTACAAGTTGTAACAAAGATGGTTACTAGAACTGCATGTAAGGAAATGTGACTCACGTCTCTTCCTTGTTGGAGCCATCGAAAAGCTCCAATATATACTTGTTCTTCACATGGCATTCATGTTTCAGAGAAAGCAGAGTATCAACAGCGAGTCTGTGTGTGAATATAACTTTCGTTGTTATAGAAAAGTTGGTATAAATGTTTCCTTGACAACAAAATCCACTCAATTCATCACATGGAATTCTCCCTGTGTCAAGAACAAATATTGGCGAGAGCAGAAGGTCAGTTAGACCATACCTTATTGCTATCCTCTGTATCTTTGGACCATGAAACTGTCCTGCTCGCTTAATTTGATAAGCACGTATTTCAATTCTTGTTAAATAGTAATGCTTAATTTTGCTGGCAGTCTGCCATTTTAGAATCCTGGCCGAGAACTTTGAGTTGGCTATCAAGTACTCCCTCCGTCTCATAATATAAGACGTTTTTTGACACCACGCTAGTGTCAAAAAACGTCTTACATTATGAGACGGAGGGAGTACTTTGAAACAGACCTGGCACATTCAGAATTTTACGAAATTAATTTGAACTAACTGTTGACGTATAAACTTATTGCCTAGTCTGTTCCATCAGATTGGTTTTCTGGTTGCTTTGGCTAGAGCACGCACTTCTACACTGACAGCAACCTTGTCACATTCTAACTTTTTTTCTTTTGTTTTGAAATCTGTCACATTCTAACTTAGCTAACTAGAATAGGAGATGTAGTCAATATGCATCTAATTCATCTCTGAAGCTAGGTTAGCTTAGGAAAGGAAGAATCAACCATGCATACCACAATCACACGAATACATACACTGGCAGTGCACTGAAGAACGATCAGATTAATTAACTGAAAGATGTTAGCTCTCTTTTTTCTCTTCTCCAGGGCAAAACAAATAATGGAGACAGATTTTCTCCAAAAAGAAAAGAAAAAATTGAGCTATGGGTTGCTCTCTCGTACATATGGGCCTGAAGCGGATGGTTCTATATGGGCTGGAGTTGACAAAGTCATAGACTAATAGACAACTCCATGCACGCCACGGCTTCCTCAACCCTCACCCAGCTCGGCTCTCAACAATTTCTCAAAAAAAAAAAAGCTGGGCTCTCAACCCTCGACCCACGACCGGGAGAATTGACGGCCGCCGCCTTGTGTTTCGTCCGCAACCTCGGCCCGTCCGCGCCGGCGCTTCCGTCTCCGTCTCCCGCTCCAAGGTCAGCATATCTCCTGCCCCAATCTCTTCTTCGTCTTTCCCTGTCATCTCATCTCTCGTGGGTATCAAACCCTAGCTACCTAGATTTTACTTCCCTAAACTGAAATATACCTAGATTTACTTGTGGTGGCTGCGGGAGCTCAGCTGAGGAGAGGAGGAAGGAAGATACATGATGGATCCTGCTGAAATCCCCCAAAGGTATGTTCCAATTTATCCATCTCTTTCTCAATTCCTGCAGTCTATTTGCATCGTATGTGCTCGATGTATGGGTGTATAAGATATAATTTTGCAACACCATTAATTGGTGGAATAAATTAGTCCATTACACTGATGTCGATTTTGCATTTGCCGCCAATTTTGCAGGGTCGGTCCCGCGAAGGAATCATGTCTGTATCCCGAGACGGAGTGGCATTCCCCAAAATGGACATCCATGTCCAAGGTGCTCGACCACGACGACCTCCTCATCGAGATCCTACTCCGCGTCGGATTCCCCACTACCCTTGTCTATGCCGCCCTCGTCTGCAAGCGTTGGTGCCACCTCGCTTCTGACTGCATGTTCCTCAGCCATTTCCGTAAGCTCCAGCCGCCCAGTCTCCTTGGCTTCTACCTCGACGACATAATGGCTCCGAGCATGTCTGCACGCTTCGTCCCAGTGCTACCTCAGCCCCCAGAGCTCACTATCGTTAGTTGTCGTGCTGCGAGCTTCAGCTTGGGCACCAGCCAGGGACATGTCATAAAATGCTGGAATGGCAGATTGTTCACCCTGCACAGTGACAAAAGCGGATTCACAGCTGCAGTGCACAGCCCACTGTGCCCCGAGGGAGGCATGGTCATTGTCCCAAAATCCATCCTTGAACAGAATACTTGTGGTACAATTATTCCCAAAGAAGAAGGCCATGGCTTCTCCTACATTTTTATGCGGGTGGTGTCTACCAACGAGACAATGCAACCTATGGTGCTTGTAGATATTTTGCAAAATGGTGATGGTGTCTGGCGCAGGTATCTTAGCTTGGCCACGGACCAACTCTCTCTTATACGATGGGATGTCAGACATGTTCTCATTGATGATAAAATCTACATACCGAGCGCCCTCCACAACATTGTTGTCTTGGATTTGACGACTTCAAGCATCTCCACCATTCAACTCCCACAAGGAGTGGAGTATGGGGATAGACGGGTGGTGTTGGCGCACAGTGATGGTGCTTCTGGTATGTATCTCATCCAAGTCAAGGAGCTTCAAGTGTGCATCTGGCTCCACAAGGGGAACAACTGGTTGCCTGTTGACACTATTTGTTTGCGTGCGATGTGTGCTACTTTGATGATGCCAAGTTGTGAGGTTGAGGATGAGGACGCTCCTATTCTTATCCGGATAAACCAACTGTGGGTTTCTGCTGAGTTTCTATTCTTGGAGATGGGCCGTTGCACATTTCATTTGGATGTCAAGTGCAGGGCATTACGTAAGGTGTATGAAAAGTCTAAAAGTGATGAAAGTTTGGGTCATATCCATCCTTTTATGATGATCTGGCCTCCCAAATTTCCTGCACTCAAGGATGATCCTGCAAGGTTTGCGCTTCCCATTTGATGATTTATCAGTCCTCTTTATGTGGTTACAAAGTTTTGCAATGTGTATCATCCATCACACTATTTAGTATAGCTGTAGATGTGTGTAGTTATTATTCATTCTTCAGGCCATTAGAACAATACTTGTTAAACAGCATTACAAGCGCTTGCCATAAGATGAACATAAATCACTTGTCTACTGTGGTAATATTACTATGTGCTTGTGGTAATAATAGAGGAACATTGCAAGTGGGCACCAGATATCATGCTTCCCGGGACCTCTCCCCTCATAAATGAAGTCTCATAGAAAGCAATTTGTGCTAGTACTAGAAGATGACTTGTTTGGTGTTATGGACCTCTCATTTCGATTACATCAATGTGAACGTCATGCTTAGGTGGTTAGGGCTGAGAGATGCCTAGCTTTGTTATCATCTTGACTGTTGCATTTTTTATTTCGAGGCAGTTTCACATACCCGTTATGCATGGAATTTCGCTTCCTTTTTCTTCAATACAATCATGGTGTAATGTTGTACTGCCTACCTTTGAACTATGAACCAGAAGCTATCTTCGAGATTGTCAATACTCAGTTTTTTTCCGAATGTTGCTTGGCGGGTGACACATGTTTTCTGAATACTAGTGGATCATAACTTCTACGTGGGTATGATTGAGCTTAACTATGATTTTTTATCCAGATATATAACTGTGAAATTTTTCCTTTTGTATGGCAACTGGCAAGTTGCTAGTCGAAGCTAATAGTGAGTAATTGTGTTTGTGTGGCATTTTTCCGTGTATGATCATAGTTTTGTTGTACTGGAGTGCATATTATAAATTGGAAACATGGCCATTTGGGACAGTTTGGTCGTACTATTGTAGCAGTTTCGCTAGATATTCCAAACAAACATATTTTTTGTGAAACGAGGCAAAAGATTTGCCATTTTCATTGATGAAGAAGAAGAGAGTTGCCCGGTTAATCGGAGGAAAACCAGGATGTAGTAGATACATTTTTTGGATTTTGAAGTGCATGTAACATTTGAGTATCGTTGTACTAGCCACTTGTCTTGTTAACTCATTTAACTTTTTATGCATAGATAGAAGAAAAACATTCTAATACTAAACTGCACTCTGTTTTAGCAATTATGTGTAGCTGTAATGCAAAAGTAAATTTGCATGCGACACTCTGGTTTGAAATTTAGGTGTGTTTGATTAGTAAAGTTTGGCATAAGAAGCCTGCCTGGTGGTGCCTTTGTTTCTATAGCGTGATCAGGTAATTCTGTCATGCATAACAAGGATAAGGGGCAAACTGTGTAATAGGAACACATATATGTGTTCATCTAGTAGTTCAACTGAACAATAAAAAAATGAGGGAATTTCCCGTCAGTGCTTGCCTCAGATGTTTATCTCTTTCTCAGTTCGTGCACTCTGTTTGTGGCTGTTATGCTTGATGGGTGGATGGATGAACCAATGCTGCTGTGTGTAAACATTACTGGTTCATGAAATTAGTCCATTCTACTGATGTTCATCTGCATTAGTCTTTGTCCATGGCACTGATGCCCATCTGCACCTGTGTTTGTGGCTGCTGCCCATTTGGCAGGGTCAAACAATGAGTGGATGGTGAAACAGAGCGGGCAGTGGATGCCGTATCCAAGGTCCTCGGTGATGACAACCTCCTCAGGGAGATCATCGTCCGTGTCGGCTTCCCCACCACCCTTGTCCGTGCCGCCCTCATCAGCAAGCGCTGGCTCGGGCATGCCGCTGACCCCGCCTTCCTCTGCCGTTTCCACAAGCTCCACCCACCATGCCTCCTAGGCTACTACATCTCTGAGCGGTCGGTTGCGTTGGAGTAGCTTGGTGCTCCACCCTTTCACGTAATGTTGCCCCTGCCCCTGCCCCCAGAGTTTTTCCCCATCACCGGCCACCGTTCTGCTCCACGCTTTGTCCCGATGCTACCTCAGCCCCCAGAGCTTGCCACCGTCATCCGTCACCTTGCTGACGACACGTTCGGTGTTTACGATGGCACTATACTGATCAAGCAGTGCCAGAACAGCAACGTCTTCACCCATCAAGACAGAGGAAGAACAAAATTGACACTTGGAATGCACCGCCCGCTGTGCCCTGAGAGAGGTATGCCCATCGTCCCACCATTCCCATGCATGGAACGCAATCTCCAATGGTTCGGTGCAATGCTCTCCAAAGAAGGCAGCGACAGTGGCCTGTCCTACCTGTATGTGTTGGGCACCAAGGGCTCGGGGAAGTTCCTGGTGCGTGTGTATGTGTTGCAAGATGGTGTTTGGTGCCTGCATACCTCGGCCATGTGCCAGCCCTCTCTTATCCATTTGGAACCAAAAGTTGAGCTTGTTGACAACAAAATCTATATCCCGACCATCAACAGTGACAACATTTTTGTCTTGGATCTGACAACCTCAAGTTTCTCCACAATCCAACTGCTGCAAGGAGTAAGCTATAATTATTTTAGGACCATGTTGTCACCGGCCGATGATGCTTCCGGTGTTTATCTCATCCATGTCAACGGATTTGAACTTCGGATCTGGCTCTTCAAGGGGAACAACTGGTTGCTGGTCGATACCATTTGTTTGAGGATGTTAGATCACACGCTTGAGGACGAGCATAATGCAAATGTCCAGATAAGCCAGGTCGGAAACAATGCTGAGTTTGTTTCCTTGAGGATGGGTGGATGCACATTCTATCTGGACGTCACGAGCAAGACACTGCGTAAATTGCATGAGAAGACAGACAATGATCCAACTTTCAGTGATGCCAAGCCTTTTATGATGATTTGGCCGCCCATATTCCCTGTGCTCAAGGACGATCCTTCAAGGTTTTCTTTTTGGACTTCAAATCATCTCTATATTGCTCTTGTTGCGACCATGAAATTTTTCCTTTTTAACACCTAGTGGCCAGTCCAAGCTAACAGTGGGTAGTCTGCTTGTGTGTCACTTCTCCTTGTATGATTAGGTTTCTTTTTACTGAAATACAAAGTATGAAATGGAAACAAGTGGGTCTGTAGTATGAGGGCATTGAAGCTGTAACTTTTGGTATGAAAAACATATGTTTTTGGCCTGAGTTCATTCTTATGATTTTTGTGTGTTTAGAGCATGGACTTCTAGTTTGTTGTATCACTGTGTTCTGAAGTGTCAATGCGAACTACAAATTGGGCCTACAAGTCTTGTTATCATGTTGCCCACTGTATAAGAGATGAAAGATACTTAATCCTGTTAAGATATTAGACACTCTATTTTCTTGTCTTCGTGTACTATTGCAAACCCAATAAGCGTAGAATTTTGACTTCTGTTTTGTCGAATATAATCACCTGCATACCTTTGAACTCTCAACCTGCAGCTATGTAACAATGAACCTGTAGCTATGTGAGATTGGTAACACTTGTTTTTTCTTGAATGTTACCGAGTGAATCGTATAATTCTTTCTTGAACACAAGCTGGATGTAGGTGCATGGGGTATTTTTGAGCTGATCCTTGATTTGTGATTCTGATATATCATAGTGACTAGTCCTAGCTAATAGTGTGTAATTTGAGTTTGTGTCGCACTTCTCCTTCTATTATCAGAGTATTTGAATACATAATATAAAATTTAATTTGTACTGTTGTAGCTAGTTGAAAACAAAGAAACTATAGTTCTGAACTGAATTCATTATTTCGATTTCTGGGCACAACAGAAACTATATTGAGTATCGTTGTTCTAGCCACTTTTCTTTTTAGGTTATCTGATACTTTGATGCTTTAAAGTGGCAAAACAAATATATTTGAATGCTTAATTATCTCTATCCTTAACCTTCCCTTGTTTTCTCTAGAACAGGAATGTCATGTGAAGAGTAAGGATATGTGATTGCTTTTGACTGATCAGTAGCGAAGGTGAGAGCAAGGAAAAGCAGAGAGTTGCATTTCCTTAGTAGCAGTTCTAGTAAGTATCTTTGTGATGACTTGTAGACTGTAATGTATTAATTAGGATGCTATGTAACCGGAGTACGTACCCTTATGCTATGTATCATGACTGATTGCAACTGATGCTTGTGTTTTGTGAAGAACACTCCCCGTTTGTATGTTTATTAGTGATGTTGTCTGATCCACTTGGGTTGCATTGTTGTGTTTGCTGTACTAGTTCTGTATGGTATTTGTGGAATTGGTCTTTTGATTCACCATTGTGGTAAATTTGTTTCAGTTAGCTTTACATATGCAGCTCTATTTCAACTGTAAAACTGAAATGTCGCTCTGAGGCTACAATTACATATTTTGTGCCACACGGAGGGCCATACATGGTGGACAGCCCCACTCCAAAGTGAACTTTTGCTGGTTGATTCAGGAGTCGGTACTTGCTACCAAGAGAATGGAGTACTGCTGAATGATGAACAAGCAGAGCTGCCGGCTCTGGTAGATGCATCTTATGAACTAAGGTTAAGAGAATGTTGTGTTGCGGGGTACACTCTCAGTATCAATTTATGCCTGATGTTTTTGTTGCATGGACATAGTGGAAACACACCTTGATTTCCATAGCCGACAGTGGTAAATAGGAAGTAGAAAAAAGTTATTGTACGATGGAGTTTGTACACAGAACAAGTAGCAGACACACTTGTAAGATTTGCAACAAGAGACACACTCCCAAGGCTTTTTTGTGCTGATCGTGATCTCTAAGGCTTCACATAACCAATTGATAGCAGTCCAAGGCTCCGAAGCTGCATCAGCACAAAGTTCTGAAGCTGTGTTGTCGTTCTAGGTGTTGGCATTAAAGGTAATGGAAGCTTCAGTTATGGAACGGACAAAGAGCATCAGTAACAGAGATGGCGTGCAGTTTCTCCAGTGTCTTCTCTGGAAATGCCACTGGCCAGTGTAGAAGGAATCAACGCGAAGTAACAACCTCTAGACTGCTGTTATGTCAGTTGGTACTTGTTGTAAACACCACATCCGCATACGGATATACTGTACAACTTGTCACCAGCTAGAGTTGTACACTTCACATGGATAAGCTACGTTGTTCTATATCATTACCAGCCCCACATTGCACTGGCAAGCCAAAACTCGAGTATATAATGAGACATGTACTGTATATAACATGATAAATCAAATACAATCGTACCTTCAAAGACAAGCTTTCATCATGATGGCTAAGTAGGCGAAAATACTCGAAAATAGTGATTTGACAAGACAATTCAACATTTTGATTCGGTGGATGCATGATTAAGGCAAGACCAGAAAAGATTAGAAAAAACTGTAGGACAGTCAACTTGGATTATTTTTTTTGTTACCAGAATTGGATAATGATTCAAAGAAAAGATTCAAGATTGCAAAATGGTAATGCTAATGGTCTGTGTACTCACCAATGCCCTTCTCTAGCCGGGCCTGTCCGGAGGGTACCAACCCTCTAAATCTACCTGGATCTTCCACGTCATAGTTATTTTTATAGCTAGGCGCCAAGTTGAGCTATTAAGCTAGAAAGATAGTGGTAAAAAAAGAGTGTATTTTCTACTCTTGGATGTACTACACCAGAGTTCGCAATTTTTTTTTGAAAAAATTGTGTTGGCAACTTTTTAGAGAGAGAGAGAGAGTTGACGATGACATGTACCTGGAGTAGGGTCCCAGGCCTGAACTATAGGACCTACCCAAGGACACCTCATACGAGAATCCAGGACGCACACAGTTACAAGAATGATATGTCGACTGGAAGACCGCATCTTGGAGTCACTCGACGCCAGTTCCACTCGGATGCTACCCCACCACTCGACCATCCAGATTCACTTGGAGAACCTGATTTCACTCGGAGTAGAAGACCTAAAACCACTCGAGAATGGAAACAGTCAGACAATCGGTTAGTCTCTATAATGATTAATTGTAAGCGTTATCAGTAACGCTCGCACCTTTACTCTCTCATTGAACCCTGGCTTAATGGAGGGCAACGAGGGACCAGCGTACTCTATATAAGCCGCCCTCTTCTTCTGCACAAGAGTTCACACCCCTGTAACTTCACACTCCATACAACAAAGCTCCCGCAGCACCGAGACGCAGGGTCTTTACCTCTTCCGAGAGGGGCCTGAACTCGTAAATACGAGTGTACAACCTCGCCATAGCTAGGCTCTGCCCTCTCCTACGTACCCCTCACCTCTACTATCAGATTTGTTCCCACAACAGTTGGCGCCCACCGTGGGGCAGGCATCGAAGCGACTTCCAACGAGGTTGCGTTCTTCGAACTCCTTTGGCATGGTTTCCGGCAGCGGACTGTCTCCGGGTCGTGAGATCTGTCTTGGCGAACTAAGCTTCATCACCGACGATTCGTCCTAGCTCCAGGAAGCCCCCCTCGATGTCGAGGCGCTCCCTATTCGTGGGGCGACGCACTTCCCTGCGAGTGCCTGCGGCGTCCTCTTGCGGCAGCCGTCGACTCAGTATTGGTCGGCTCCGGTGGCGTCTTCGCTCCCCGTAGTTCGCCGCTGCAAGTGATCTGGCCGCTCACGGCTCCAGCGGTGGGTGAAGCACGCGGTGGCTCGTTAATCATCCACTCCGCAGATCGCTGCAATGGAGCCCAACGAGTCCCTTTATGGCTTGTTTGATTCATCATCTGGTCACTCGGATACACTTTCCGAGTGCGAAAGCAACGATCCCGCTGCAAAGGTCCTTGTGATTGGCCCGCAGCATAGCCCACCTGGATTTCCTTGCGGTTGGGGCGAAAGCGGCGGTCCGTCCCACGCTAACGACGAGTATTATCTGCAGGCCCTCACTGCAGAACAAAGAGAAGAGCTGCAACGCAGGAATGAGCAGGTCCTTCAGACCCCCATCGTTGCGGAGACGGCTGAGGCCCAGGCCTTGGAAGCCGTGCGCATAGCCACTCTGCATGAGCGCGCGCGTCTCGAAGATCGCACTCGCCGACTGCCCCCAAGTTCCAGTCGATAGCAACGACAATTGTTCCCGACTGGATCTCAAGATGAGTATCAGGTATATCGCACTCCAATTTAGAATGTTGCAGCAGCCACGAGGATTGCGGATTCGATCCAACCGTCCCGTTCTGAGGCTGGAAGAGGCCTTGAGCAGATTCGGACGTTGCTCAGGGCGACGGGGGATTAGAATTCCGTCGTTTCTCAGTCGTGCAATAGGATTCACAGCAGGTCCATCAGGGCGGACACAGTCCAGTCGACTCACAGTGGTTATCGCCAACACCAGTACCTAGATCGGGGCCACGAACAGTTTGTTCCTCAGCATCACCGCGACGATCGCCGTCGAGCGCCTACGCCCCCTCCGAGGGGTGGTTCGTACGCGCCCCGGCGGTATGACGACAGGCGCCCGTTCGGAGATGAGCGGAGAGGATCACTCGACCCACGAGACCCGAGGTTCAATGCAAGATCTTTCCTTGTGTAGAATCTAGTCGACAGAGGTAGGGCTCACTGAGAGGGGCTGGATAGAGACCGCCCGAGTGGAAGTGGAGCGCATATTTCTGGGCCCGAGTGTTTCAGCAGAGCAATTCGGTCGCCTGAGATACGCCCCAACTCCATATTGGTTACTGATGAAGCTATGTACCTAGGGTAGGGGCACGGACCTGTCCAGAGAGCCCTACCCAAGGACATCCCTAGAAGAAGTCACCTTTCAATCGACTTGAAGGTACCCACTCGACGGGTTCAAGACACTCGACCAAGAAGCTATCACTTGACCATGAAGCCAACCACTCGACTGCCAGGAGATCTAAAGTCATTCCGCAGGCAAACGGTCAATCATTAAGTAGTCTTTATGGTCATTATAGCACTTTATTAGTGGCGTTACCAGTAACGCCCAGCCTTAATGTACCTTAAACCCTGCATTACTGAGGGCAAGAGAGGGCTGGCGAACTCTATATAAGCCACCCCACTCCTCAGTATCAAGGGTTTCCACCCCTGTCATTCTCACACGTATAATCCAGTCGACCGCCTCCGGGCACCGAGACGTAGGGCTTTTACTTCCTCCGAGAAGGGCCTAAACTCATACATCTTCGTGTGCTTACAACTCCTGCATAGCTAAGATCTAGCCTCTCCATACTTACCCCCCTACATCACTGTCACACTTAGAACCACGACAGTTGGCGCCCACCTTGGGGCTGGAATCTTAGCGCTTGATTGTAGGAGTTGCAATTTTTTCCGATCCCCTTGATCATGGTTTCATGCGGAGTTTTGGTGGAGGGCCGCGAGATCCGTCTCGGCGCGCTCACGTTCATCACCGACGACTCCGCCTGGCTTCAGGAGGCTCCGCTCGACATCGACGCGCTCCCCGTCCGCGGGGCGACGCACTTTCGCGCATGTGTTCGCGACGTCCTCCTGCGGCAGCCGTCGACTCAGTATCGGCCGGCTCCCGTGTCACCTCCCGGCCTCGTCTCTCGCCGGCGCAAGCGCTCTGGTCGATCGAGACTTCAAAGGTGGGTGAGGCATGCGGTGGCTCGCCAGTCGGCCACCCCACAAGTCGCGGCAATCGAGCCCGACGAATCTCTCTGCGGCCTGTTCGACCTGTCGACTGGCTCCGCAGAGACCGCATCCGAGTGCGACAGCAGCGATCCTGCGGCGGAGGTTCTGGCAATTGATGGAACACGCAGCCCTCCCGGTTTTACTCGTACCAATGGAGGCACAGGTGGAGGCGACCCGTCGCATCCCCATGAAGAGTATCTCCCTGAGCCTCTCACGTCACTACAGCGAGAGGAGCTTCGCCGCCGGAACATGAATGCACTCCACACTCCTATCGTTGGAGAAACCACCGAGGCCCGAGCCTTGGAGGACGCGCGCTTGGCTAACTTGGCCGAGCGCACTCGACTAGAGAATCTCCAGCGAGCACTCGACGAGCAAGCGCATCAGCAGGCTCCTGAGTCCAG